CTACTGTGGGATCTGCTGCCCTGCCTCTCCACCGGGCCACGCTGCCGCCTGGAGTCTTGCTCAGATGACCACCTGCATATCCATCAAACAATAGAGAAATCATTACAACGATAGATCCATTGCCATGTTAAGTGGGAGGTGGAACTTTTTAACTTTTATCTTAATGCAGCCCCTTCATAATGCCATGACAGAATGAAACAGGTAGGAGAAGTACATTTTCAAAGAGCAATTACAGATGCAACACTCCTCTCAATGGCAGGTGAAACCACATTTACATCAGACCCCCATTAATCCCCCCTAATAACTATGAGCTGGGGCAGAGTAGAGGTAATCATTATGACCCCTGTGACTGGGAGGACTGGGCCAGCTTCAGGCCTCCTCTTTAACAATTTTACCCAGCTGGGGTTGCTGCTTCACTCCTGTACCTCTCTGGCATTGGGCCTCTCCCATGCATCTCTCTGGGGCTCCTCTGTGACCCAGAGGGCCCGTGTTCTCCATTGTGCTGATGAGAGAATGCTCCAGGCTCGTTCCAGCGCTTCATGCCATGACCTGAGTGCTCAAAGGGCCTTTCTCTGGGACTGTAATTCCCACGGGGGTCTCGATTCCGCTGCTCCTGATGCGGAAAACCTGACTGCCTTCTGGGGCCCCTGAAAGACCCCTGGTTGGCTGGTGTGAAGCCTGGCCTCCTGTCAGCTGGGTGGTTGCGAAAATGTCTCGGGGAGGGTGACCTGTGACCTGAGGGGTGGCCGTGGAAAGGCGGGCCCCTCTGATTAGGGGATCCATGTGCAGGACTACGAGAAGATGACTGATGCTGGACATGGGGGGAACGGTTTGGCCTAGAAGGAGAAGGCCTCCTCTGGCTGTGGTGTGGTTCCATTTTGGGAGGGTATGATTGAAAGGAATCCTGATTGGGGGACCTCCAGTTATTGAATCGCGGCTCCCTTTGCTCTCCCATCAGGGGCACTCTTCTGACAACCGGGGGCCGTCCTCTACCTCTGGAGTCTTTCCAGTTAAAAGGGGCCTTTACTTGGTAGCCCTGGACGTCTCTCCGACTTTTGGAGTTGGGGTTGTAATTCCCTTCATTCGGCCCAATGCCATGACCATCTCCATAAGGTCTGATAGGAAACAAGAAACACAGAAATTGGTGTAAGAATTGATACAACAACGCATAAAACGACAGCCAGCATCGAGTTTAGATCAGTTGTTGCATTATTATTACGCATAATAAGAGATTTAACAATCATGGACATAACACAGTCTCTGGGTCTAAATTCACATAAAGACATTACCTCGGCTTTAAGCGCGGCGGTCCAAAATGTGGTCGGACCATCTTCGTAATCGAGTGTAAAATCTGTGGACAAAAAAGAAACCATGTTGAGTTTTGATGACCTAAGCAGATATAGTGACTGCGTCCTGCAACTAAACAATGTTAGCCTGCCCCGACCCCGTAGTGGATACAAGCACTTTAAAGTCTGAAGCAGAGTCAGTTTGGTTTGGTTGAGCTTTCGTTTCATGCTTTTATACGCAACTCCAACAAAACAGGAACCAAGTAAAAAGGTAAGTTTCAGTTTCACGTTCTCTTTATCTTACTCACGTTTTGGGTACTCAGTTAGATAAAAGTTGCGTAAACATTAATAGACTAAACAGCAATCTAATGCCTTGGTCAATATTTACACAAAGTACATGTGACCTAAAATAGATTTAAATTACCATTTTAACTACTGATTTTCTACCGTAATGTTTAGATGCTGAATTTATTGAACAAAATTCAATTGTTTAGTATATATTAAACAACATAATGTACAAAGGGCCACAGGTGGGAGTCTAACCCATGACTGCTGGGCTTCCCTTATTGTGGAAATTTTACATTAATAACAGTAAAAGCTGCATTCAAATTGAAAAAGGCAAAATACAAAGTCCATATTTCTTTTAATAGTCCTGAAGCCAATCCGCAGAAATATGTAATCTATTCATCACCAGAGACAAGAGTTCAGTCTTAATCTAATCAGGACTGTCAGAGATAAAAATGACAAAGTACACTGCATTCCAGTAGACTTCTTTCAAATGTTTTAAAACATCTAAAAAGACACATATTTGACTCTAATAGCACTACACAGAGCTGCAACAAGAAGTCACATTGATTAGTTCACCGTTAAATAATCAACTAACTTAATTTGATGATCAATGGATCGTCAAATGTCCAAATTCTCAGATTTTCTCGACATAAATGTGAATATTTTCAGGTTTCTTTAGTCCTCTAGGAGAGTAAACTGAATATCTTTGAGTTGTGGACAAAACAAGACATTTGAAAATGTCACCACGGGAAACACCGACGATTCTCTGACATGTCATGGCGCGAACAACTAATCGATTAACCGAGAAAACGATAAGAAGAGAGGAAAAATGGAAAATAAATAAATGCACATCAACTAAATTCTTGTTTGAACAAAGTGTGTAGACTTTCATGCGTGGTTTGATAAAGCTCCTGTTGTTGTTATAGCAACACGCACAGGGAGCGTCACTGCTCTCGATATGGGGCAATTCATTCTTATATCACCATAGAAACCAGAGATTACTCATGACGACGTGAGGTTAGGTTGGCCCGACCGACGTAACTTAGTACCAAGAGTTCACCCACCGCAAATAAACATGTACAAATGTAGACGGAGAATGTGATTATAGCGGGAGCCATTTGTTTAGGTGGGGTAGGTTTCTACGGTACAGCTTCAGTCGGTTCAGGTTCAATCCCTTAAATCCCGATGAAGGATCTGCTTCCATTTTTGGTCTTAGCGACAGGGTGAGAAAATAACACGGCTCAGTCATTTTATTCTTCCTGTGGGGGGGGGACCGGGGCCGACGCTGAGGCTGCTGAGTATCACACTGACGTTATTTAAGAAGCCAGGTCACACCAATGTTTCGGATCTATATATATATACACACATATATACATTTACACACAAACACAAAGGTGAAAACGCAAGTGGAGCTAGCGCTAACACCCGTGTCTTGTCGCTGAGTTTGCTAAGGCCAGTTAGCTCGCCGGGCTATCTCGCTGGTTTGCAGCAGCAGCAGCTCTCCGCGAATGACATTCACCAGACCAAACAGATAAACCCACAACATAAGTAAATAAACCAGGAGAAGACGACTTTAACAGCGAACATGTGTGATTTAATAAATTAACCGGAGATAACTTTCTTACCGAAACCAACCGTCGATCGGACGAACGCTACGTGCGACACAGACGAGCTGCTCTTCTTCTCTGCTCTCGTCGCGCCGCCCTCGCCCTTCAACTGTTTCACATCCAACCCGGAGCGCCACCTGCTGGCGGGGAGTGGGAACTACACGTCTACGCAGTCTGCCGGAGGGTCGGTGTAGGCTGCGTGTATTGTGTTTTCCTTCATTTCATTCATAGTCTAAAACAAAACAAACAAGCCCTGCAATAAATGCTGATGTTCATTTTCTGTAGAAACTGTTTTCAGTGTTTTAATTTGAGGTTTGAGGAGGTGCAAGAGGTTTTTATATTTTATACATCCCATTTGTAGTAATGAGCATAGACTGAATTCTTGAAACACATTTCAATGTGTAAGAAAGTGAACATTACAAACTTCATTGAAGTACTGTAGAATTCATTGCTGGGCTTTTATATCAGACTGCATTGGTTTTAGCTAGTTGTACCTATAAATGGAGAATAATTATATGTTTTAATGGCAGTAAGCAATAATCCATGTCTGTGTGATTTCCTCATCTCATTCTCTATCTCAAAAGTCTTCTGCCTCTTTGTTCATCTCACTTTATGTTTGTCTTCCAAATATAATCAACTTATGCCCAAGTTATTAGCTCAATAACACATCAACACAACACATTCAGAGGTTTACATTTTATTGTTTCAGATAACATTGTTATGACCATGCTAACCATGCACAATGTCTACATTAATTACATAACTTAAGGAGTTAAGCTGACAGTGATTGACTGTTTTGACATATGGCTATGAGCAGACTTGAATACTTTTTGAAGTGGTTGTATACTGTATATCATTTCTCATGGATTGTCCTTTTAAAATCAGTCCCTTTTGCAAAAAGCAGCCTTTTAGTCATTGTGGAACAGCAGTGTTTGAATATGCAAAATATACAGCAAACCCTAACTTTCAAAAACTGTATGTAACATACATATATGGCTACTTCACTTAAGACAATTAAAAATGTTTTGCTATGTATTGTCTGAGGAACACAAACTCTAAATGTCACTTAATAAGAGACACACTAATGTGTACAAGCTGTTGGTATAATCGTTTGCAAATTGTTGGCGGAGAGAATGTGTGTTAAACCGAGGTTCAAGTATTACAGGTATACACGATCCCAGTGGCCGAACAGAAAGGATAAACATACACAGCCAGAAGACTGGCACTAAAATACATTAACTCGGTCCCTCTTAAGGCATCTCTATTGAAATTATATTTAGACACAACACAGAAAAAGGAAAAATTGCAATTATTAGTCAGTTTATGAATTGCTCAATAAGTGTAAGGAGCCCACTGGATAATTCCTACAGGACCACACACATATAACATGATGGAGGGAGAAAAACTGTAACAGCAAACAGCATATTTATAGCTACAGGGCACACTTATGAGTTGATTGTTAAGCAAACATTCCTGCCCCAGTGCACTTCAATGCACTTCAACAGTCTCACATCAATAGCCAAAAACCTATTGATTAGAATGTGTGTATGTTACTGGACGTCTATAGTTTAATGCATCCATTAGTGCTGTGCCTGGGAAACCCTTCACATAGCAAGGCACACCTACAGAAGTTGAAGGTTGCTCAGCTGTCAGTATTTCCATCACTGGAAACATTGAAAAATGGATGCCTTGCTATTTAAATAAGCTTTTATAAATACAATAAGTGTATATTTGCAAGAGAGTCCACGTTAGCGATTAGTCTGCAACAAACATGAAGTATGTACCATCATTTGTGTTGATGCCATGTTTTTTTTTTTTAAATGTGCAATAACATTCGAGTTGATAGCTTTGGGATCATTATCCTCACTCACGTGCAGTTAGAAAGTCCCAGTTAAAGAAAAAAAAAAGAATAAAGGGAATCATATCTCATTGCCATGAAATTAAAAATGTGAACAATTCCATTATGAGACCTTGCTGGGTTAGAAAGGGTGAAGGACTGCAGTGGTCCTGAGAGTCTTGCTGGATTTTAGTTTGCCAGATAAATCTATTACGTTCCAGCCAAATCAGTCACCAATACATGCATGAATAACATTACCTAGAAAGGACACGTATTAAAAATTAGGTCATGCCTTTCCCAGCAACACACTGAATTAGATTTAAAGGCTTAAGAGGGCATGTGGAAAGGCAGAGGTACAAATGCAGTCATCAGTGCTCTGAGCAGGGTTTTATTACTGGGACTGAACTGGCACCCAGTGAGGAATCTGTGTTTATTTATTTATTTTTTGTCAATCTCTATGGCTCTATTCCCATAAATGTAGTGACTCCCAATGAATGTTTGACAGAAAGAGAGAGAGAGAGAGAGAGAAGGCAAGCGAGAGAGATTAATCGACTATTTAATGCTAAGTTTGTTTGAGGACGGGGGTGACACCCCAATGAGCTTTGAGTCTGACATGGGACTAACAACTCCCTCAATGAGGTTCTTGTTGCAGTCACCTATGTTGCCATCAGAGGACAGTTTGGGGTAGGTGACACTGCCCGTCAGGTCCATTAGATCTTCAAGAGCTCGGGTGTTACTCATACTGCTGGGCTGGATTTCGTTGACTGGTGAGAACTCTGGGATTGAAATAAGTTCCTCCTTTGAAGCCGGGCTGAAATATAATCATAAAAACGCAATAATATTGGTGTCCATAATTATTGGTAGACCAAGCATGTAATGTGGTACAGGGTTACCTGATGACTCACCTGACCTCCATGGACTGCACCTCGTCACAAGACCCCGAACGCTTCACATCTAGCGGCTCCAGCTTGATGACTGGCGGTGATAGGTGTGCAACTGGCAGGGTTGTCACAGAGGGTCTAATAACCTCCACCTGGGACCCTCCTTTAGCTTTGCCCTCAGCTGTTGACACACGCAGGCTTTGTTGTTTGCTTGCCTCAGCAGTTAGATGACTACTCTTCAAGGCTGTTTTCTCACCCTTCACTGCTCCATTCATCATACCGCCCTCCTTTTGGTTGACTTTGGCATCTGCTGCCAGCTTTGTCTGCTCTTTATTTATTTGGTCTGTGGCTTTAACATTTGCTTTGTGCTGCTTGTTTACATTCATTTCCACCTCTCTTCCCTGCTGCTTTAAGACACCGGCATTGCCCTCTTTGTGAGTCTGGCCGCCGTGCTCTTCACTGCCTTTTTTGGCTTCCGGTCTCTTGTCAGGAACACTGTGTGCTGGTGTCACTTGATGAGTGTTGTTTTTAACTTGCAGACTCTTCTGACTGTCCATCTGTGCTGTTGCTGCTGCTGCTGCTGCTTCTTTCTTCACCAGGGCACTGTTGACCTGGACTGTGACCTGCTCTTTTACCTGAAGCTTAACCTTTTTGATTGCTTGCTCGTTCACCTGAGCATTAGTCTGAACAGGCTTTACTTCACCTGTGGAGGATAAAAAAAACATCACAGTGGGCTTCACTTTATTTGGACGGTCCAGTCAACATCAACTGAATTTCATCTGAGTCGACTTGAGTCTATTCCTGCCAACAGTAACAGTGGCTGTCACATATTACCACTATTACTGAACAAGTTGATACTGAATATTGACATTGGCTCAACTGTAAAAGCCAAACTATTCGAGAATTACTGGTAGACAGTCCAAATAAAGTGTTAGCTCACACTGTGCAGAGCAGTCCCTGAATACATCTTCCAAGGGCATTTTCAAGAGCAGCTAATTTTAAAGTCAGCTCCCAAAGCACTGCTCTACAATAAAAGGCGCCCTATCAGCACAGAAAGGAAAGTCCTTGGCTGCTACTCCATATTTCAGAAAATATTATATAACCCCAAACCAAATGCTTTTGAGTGTGTGGTCCAAAGCACAAGCAATATACCAATGAACAATTTTGCATGGTTGACTTAAGCTGGTGCAGACAAGCATCTTAGCTGTTCATTCTTCTGAATAGCCAAAGCCCAAAAACAGCAGAATTATTACATAACAAGACAATAGCAAGAATGCTGGAAAAATATTGGCATCTGCCCCCTACTGAGATGTCTCACAAGCCAAGTCATAAAAATGTAAATTACTGCTGCGCATGCAAATAAGCTAATAAATGAATCGCATCATACACCACACATGCCCTGTTTGCATTTTTACAGCTGCAAGGCATACAGAGAGGGGTTGAGTAAGCAGGGACAGCAAGCAAACTTAAGGATTTGCAGAGCGACCGAATAACATACTAACCTGGTGGTAAGACGGGCTTCGTCTCCACCTCTTCCTCCTTCTGAGTCAATGCAGAACAGAGACGATCAAGTCAACGTTTGGGGTAATCAGGACACAAAACCAAAGTAGAACCAACAATAGAATTTAATAAAGATAATAAACAACAACAGAGAGTTTTTAACAAAATAAAGTTGAGGGGAAAAAATGTTGATCACACAATCAGCAGGTACTTAAAGGCAGCAGGACTACTGTACGAGAACAGAGGGTGCCTCTCACAGTACCTTCAGGTCGGCTTCACCCTTTCTAGTTCTCTTCATGATCTCCTCAATTCTCTGCAAAAATAGATTCATATTTAATTATCAGAATTCAGATTTTGAAGCAACATGTAATAAGTGCTGTGATCCTCTTTTCTGAGGGTTTTTTCTGTTAGAAATAACCTTTTTTCTTAGTTGCCTCTCCTCCTCTTCTTGTTGTGTCAGCATTTCTCTGTCTTGCCGCTGACGTTCTGCATCCTCTTGCGCCTGGACTTTGGCTTTGTCTCTCTGTTAAGATCAAGAGGAAAAACATTTATAACCAGAAACTCTAAGACAGAAAATCATTTACCTAATATATCAAAGATTCACAAGAAATTAAAAATACATTTAAATCATGCAGCATTAGGGCAAAAACAACTGCTTTATAGCATGTTATAATTATCTCTTACCTCTTTGTCCATCTGTTGCTCCTTCTCTTCCTCCTCTTTCTCTTGTATGTCTTCTTCTTTTTTCATCCTTTGAGGGTCTTCCTCATTTTTCGCCTTTTCCTTCACTTGTTGAGTCTTTGCCTCCTGCTGTCGCTGCTCTTGAGCGAGTTGCTTCCTCAACTGTTCTTCTCTTAGTCTGTTGGGCAGGTTAGTACACTTATTAAGCTCAAGTACAGACTTAAACCCCACAGACTATTTAAAGGACCAGTGTGTATAATATAATGGCCTCTAGTGGTATTGCTGCAGATTGCAATCCAATCGCTTCACCCTCCCCTTCCAAACGCAAAGAAGAAACTACAGTCGCTGCGAAACATGCATAAAATCTAAAGCCAGTGTTTGGTTTGTCCGTTCTGTAGAAACATGGTGGTTCAACATGGCGGGCTCCATAAAAGGTAACAGTGGATAAAAGCGGCTCATTCTTATTTTCAGTTGATTATAGACTAGTGAAAACATACCTATAAATATTATATTCCATTTCTGTCAATAGATTCTCCTAAATGTTACACACTGGACCTTTAATGCTGCCTTAAATTCATGATTCATTGAATGAACTTACCTTTCTTGTTCCTCTAGTTCCCGTTTTTTATCTTCCAGTTCTTTCTGAGCTCGAGCCTGACGCCTACGTTCTGCCAGCAACCTGGTAGCCTCCTCTGCATTTGTTGTGCCAGCTGCCACCTTCACTGTGGACGCACATGGTGCTGATTCTGTCACACATACAGAAAGACGGTTGTAAGAGCATTGTAATTCAGTGTAAGGTTATAAATACTTGTTGGTATAAAGTCCACCTTTTTTCTTGTGTGCATCCTGAGCATTGCTCTGCATCTTCTTCTCTGAGGATTCCACTTTGGGAGACATGTGGTCTTTTATGTCAGGGGACTGATTTTTGTCACATGTGTCACCTTTGAGCGGCTTATCAAAAGTTTCCCCTTTAGGTGATTTGGGTTGAGTGGTTTCAGCGTTGACTGCATTCTTCTCCGCTTGTAGGGCTGTATTCATGCTGTTGTTGTCGGTATTCTTTTTCACTGCAGTTTCATCTTTGGATTGTTCACTGTGTCTTTCCACCTTCTTTTCTTCTGCTTTGCAATCATCACTCGACAGGTTTGGACGATGTCTTGTAGGAGAGTAATGGTACTGATGTGCATTGCTAGGAGACTGGGCACGCATCTTTGATGCCAGCCTGCACACAGAAGATTTGTTTGGCTTAAAAATTCTATGTTAATGACAGAAAAGACATTTTAAAATTGTGTTAAACAAGGCAATGGTCCCAGCTGACCTTTCAATTCAACACCAAACAAATAATCTTACTTGGAGGTAGTAGGGGAAGCCAAGTGCTTGGTAACACTAGCAGGGGATTCAGATCTTCTCGCAGGGGATCCACAACCTGGGGATGCAGTTCTTCTGTCTCTGCGCAGACGCTCCTTCTGTAAGTTATAGTGATGTAAGATCTTGCAATTTGTATCCATTAATTTTTGATTCTTACAGATTCTATGCAAGTATATTGAGGTATGAGTATGTGTGAGGTCTGACCTTGGGGGTATTGGGAGTGGACCGAGAGCCACCCTGAAGTCCAGCTCTGTTGTGATCTGCAGGGTTCAGCGAGCTGCAGAAAGGTGACCTGTGAGGGCTGCAGGGCGCTGCATGATGACAAACACAATGCTTATCAAATCTGATGATGGCAAATAACAAGTGGGATAATAATACAGTAGCCAGAGGGAGGGATTGACTGGACAGTGTGTGCTGCACCCAACTAAGCATACAGACTCACTTTTCCAGGTCAGTTGGATGATGCAAAACTAATTATATGCCACAATGCTAAATTTTAGACATCCATGTGATACTTTTCTCTTCTCTGGTTGAAGCTGTGGTAATAAGCTTTTGGTTTTGGTAGAAAACCTGCAAACGTACAGCTAAAATCAAGCTCTTCTGTCCTTACTGGACTTTATAAAGCTGAAAAACAAATGTGGAAGGACACATTTCTGCCAAAAAGAGGCCATTGATTTTACCAGTATTAGATTAGTCCTGACTGAGGGATATTGAACACGCATGTCTTTCAACTGCCAGTATGACTGGTTCAGCCAACAGTCAGACATAATGTGGTGTGTTAACATCCTTGTTAGTAATTTTGTATGCTGCTGCTACGCAGTGTGATACAAGCACACACACGCCAGCATGGTGGCTGCGAACAATAATCCCAAACCCAGTTCCCAACACTTCTGTCCTTGCCATACCCAAAACAATGACACCAAATGAAAACACACACAGGCCTTCTGCAGACTCACAATCACAAAAGCAAAGGACCTAAACATGGAACAACAACAACAACAACACTAGAAGCAGTCTTCTTGCTGTCTCTTGTAACTTCTCATCCATCTGCCATCATCTGTAAAGAGTAATCGCTAAAGAGTGTAGCCCTCCCAGTGGGATGCCTGTATCTGTGTCTATTTTGGGACACATATTTCTATTCTAGGTCATGTGCGATTAATCTCTAAAAAACGTCTGCTCGAGGGACCCGGTGTCAGCATCCCAGGTTATCAACACAAAAAGGAAACTACAAACTGTTAAAAGAGAGAGATTTTCCAGTTGATGTGATCAGCGCCCTTTAGCCGGTTTGTAATTACTGTGAGGTTACTAATCTGGGGCAACTAATCCGGAGGTTGACTTCTAGGGAAATCTTAAAGAGAGTTATACATACTGAAATGATGTGTTTACTAAAACACACGTCACAGAGGAATACTGGGCTAAAGATGATGAATTAATGGAGGAAAACATGTTTCCGCCGACAAGATTCAGTCTATGAAATAGCTGATGGTGGTGCATCTTCTTATTGTCCTCTTTTTCCTGCACAATGGAGTTTTCCTTTGCAAGAGAGGAGAGAATGGAAGTCCCGCCTCAGGAGATTAGGAGGATGTTTCAGCTTGATTCTGCCTGAAAATTAGGTTAGCTCATGATAAGACCAGCACTTCTAGATAAATGTTTGAATATATGTCAGTATAAGCTCCTGTACTGATAACATCTGCCTGTTAATTTGCGTGATCCTCGAAGCCTGTCTTCACAGTGTTACGACTCCACACTGCCTTTTGTGACAGTAACTCAAAGATAAAAGCCACTGCAGCAGAGCACAAACACAGCAAACATATAGATTACTTTGCAGAAGTGCATTCTCTCATTTGCACAACAAGGGCACCATTAAAAGTTCAGCAACGGCGCAGCCTAACATGCACGCATCACAGGAAGAAGACATTTGCCTTTGGTTTATGTTGAAGTTTCAGACCGCCCAAACAAACACAGACATGGTAACTGTTGGATGAACAGGAGGGGAAGATATAGTTGGGAGGGCAAGGGGGGCTTAACTTTACCAGATTCGCTGACAGCAGGAAGGGGGGAGGCAATGCCATGGGAAAAGGCGGAGGCAGCAGAGAAAGGGAGTGGGACATTCTCACTGTCACCTATAGGCAGCGGGCGGAGCAGAGCAGAGCAGAGCGTTATGAACAGTTTATCTGAGCAATTCCTTATCCACCTGTAGAGTCCTGGATGGGAGCTAACATATCAGCAGGGATGTCATGATGTAATGTAACCTAAACTCTCACTTTTTTAGTCTGATTTAAAACCATTATGTATAGGTTTTGAATATTTCCAGCTGTCCTTCCCAGTGGTGATATCAAAAAAGTCTATGTGGCAGACAGAACTGCACACAGATGATTTATGTGTTATTTTCACACTTCCGTTATTTAAATCAAGTTCAAAAAGTGTAGTTTAGTGTTACATAGACACCTGTGTAGATGTGTAACTCCATCCTTTTCTCTGTGGGAAACCAGGAACACATTTCTGCTCATGCGTACTTCAGCAGCCAGGCTGTCAGCATTGATCAGGCCAAGAGAAGTTTTCTTTAACACACACACACACACACATTCACTCACTCTCACTCACTTACTCTCAAACACACACACACACACATTCACTCACTCTCAAACACACACACACACACACACACACAACCAACAGCATACATGCACACACATTCTGTCATGGTGTCTCACAGAAATACAGCAAAATGCAATCCTTCTGAAAAAAAGCACAATTTTTTCCTTCCATATCCTGCTTTTCGGTTTCAGATCATTCACATTTCACCTTTCTGCCACTCATGCCTCTTGTATACAAAACTATTTGTAAGCTCAGTTCTTGCCTGCTCCGGTAGGGCAGCCTCTGCTCCAGCGTTTGGTTCTCTGCTCCAGCTGAAGGCTTCGTTCCAGAGAGCGTTTCATCAGGGCCTCCAGCCGCTCCTGAACGCAACACAGCAAAGCCGACCATTATTTTCACTCTGTCGCCTCACTACTTGTATGTTATATTACATTTGTATGTACATCTTGCACACACACACAACCACACATTATATAGGCCATAGTGCATTCTTGAATTAAACAGATCTTGATTAAGATTTTTTGTTAACTCAGCTTACCCTCTCCTCTTCGAGTTGCTGCCTCCTCTTCTCCTCCACTGCAGCTCTTCTGAGCTCTTCTTTCTGCCTATGCTCCTCCAGCCGCCTCCAGCGCTCCTCCACTGTGCGTTCGTACTGCAGCCGTGCCCTGCGCTCTTTCTCCCTGATCAGCTGCTCCCTGGCCGCTGAAAGAGACAAGACCAATTTTGCTACAGGTTCCAGAAAATACAGTTAATGGATCAATGTTGCTGTTCAGCGTTCAGAGTTACTGCAAACGAAATTGAAATTGTCTCAATTCTAACACTTTTATTAGTACATTTTATTCTCTCATTAAAATACTTTTTTAAGAATAGTGTATTTTGTTCTTTTTTGTAATATTTGGTATTTTTTTCTTTCAAAACACACTCACCAAATCTGACATTATGTGAACTTGTATTTGTTACAGCGAATTTGATTGTCATGAAGATAGAAATCCTTGTCATCATGAGGCAACTGCAAGAGCTGCATGATTAACTGTGAGTGTGAGACCTACTTTTGTGGATTATTCTATGTCACTGTCACATCCTCTGAAGTGACTTAGCTCATCACATGAAAAACCCAGTGAACTCAGAATATCTCTTCTACTGGCTAGCAAAGCCCTTCCATGACCAATTAAACTGTAGAGAAAAAAAAATGTCATGCCAAAAAAAAAACTTTGCACTGAAGAAGGAACCCACAGGCATTCCAGGGCTTCTCAGTTCACAAAATCAGAACCTGACAGAATCAGAAAAATTAACCGAGAGGACATCACCTACCCAGGCTTCTCTCCCTCTCCTCACGTCTCTCTTTGGCTAATCGCATCCTGTCGTCCGTCTTCATATAACCTTCCACGACTGAGAGATGAATGAAAGAGTCAGAGAACAAAAACAAAGGTAGTGGTAATGCAGTCAAATGAAAGCCCAGAGAAACCCCGAGACTTACTTTGTTTACCTGCATGGTTGTTGTTGATGTTAGCCGCTAAGTGAGAAGGGGAAGCGTGTCCATTCATGTGTGGCTTCTTCTCTGTGTTTGATGGAGCTGGGATCATCATGACAGAAGGAGAGAGAGAGAGAGAGAGAGCACACAGCTTTGTCTAAAGAGGAATGACATCAGCGCCACAGTACTGACCTGCAGTGCTGTTCTGTTACCAGCAGAGGGATGCATTTCGTCAGCTCCGTGTGGGGCTGCTCAGCGTTAAATGCACTGTGTTGCAAAATGCCAAGCAGCCCCAATGCCAAGGGCAAACTGCAGCAATATGCAGGAGAAGGGAGGAAACTGTCCTTGATGTGATAGTCACTCTACACATGCTGAATGTCTCTTTTGGTTATTGTTGCTGAGCTTGTGTTGCGGTTGTAATCTACTCCTCCGTTAACTGATAACAGAGCAGCCTGAAACACATTTTCCTCATATGCAGAGGCCTACGGAGTCATTCTGTGCATTCTGTTATGTTTCTCTAGTAATTATGCAATAATCCACATCATTGTGTGCAAGTGATTTTCATCCAGATGAAACCACTTGGAAGGAAAGAGTGAATTACGTGACAGAAGCCGGAGGGGATTACTCACTAGTTTTTCCAGTTCGGACTGGAGAGCTGTGACCGTTTGTTGGAGATCTCTTGTCGGGAAGTAGAGTGATGGATGGTGGGGCCATCTTTTCACCTAAAGCACAAGACAAATAAAAGAATTTTAAAAAGTATTGTATCTAAACATTAAGCTCATATTACCACATCCTATTTCACAATGGTTGTAAATGGTGTGAATGCAGAATTTTGCTGGTATACGGCCATGAAACTATAGTCACTGTATGCGTGTGTGTGTGTGATTGTGTGTGTGTATGTGTGGATGAATGATCACAGCTCACAGATGAGACACATCAACTCATATACTGTAATAGGTTAAGAGGCAAGTAGACGCCTAAATTGGAGTAAATATTCAAAATGTGACACTAATATGAAGCATAGTTCAACAAATGTCTTATTATAGTTGTAATAATAATCGAATTAATAATAACTATTAGACAAATCTATTATGTAATATGGAGAGTTAACAGTATCTAAATCTCATCAAAGTGGTTGCGTTCTTATCTTTGAATGCGTCTCTCAAAAAAAAAACCATTTAATCCCACAAATTCACTCAATCAATATGTGCATTGTAGGCTGAACTGCCAACACACTCCGTCGCATCACTTGATCAAGTGAATTACTCTCTTTTCAGTCAGGGATTTTTACTGTGTAGCCTACTGAAACTTGGCAGACCCTCTTAAATGTGGCTTGGCTGATGTCAGACAGGAGAGCTTACGCCTCAACCAACTTAACCAAACACATCACTGCACACATTCAACATGCTCAACTTGTAGCATTTATCATTTTCCATGATAACATTTTATTGATTTCTTCATGCCACACTGGTAGCCTACCTCTAATGACCTGGGTGTATTTATTATAGCTTTTATGGCTTTGGCAGGAATAGGTACTGCTCTATGTTATTTATTATTCCTGAACATAGAAAGCATTTTCATCTTTTTTGTTTCCTGTCAGAGCTTTTAAAATAATAGGTCTAAAAGTTCCAACACAACTAAGATCTCCAGTAGTCATCTTGCATCTTTTCCAGTTCTCAATGAAGCAGTGAACTAGTGTGACAAGTCTTTTCTCCTACAATCCTATCAGATGTGATTATTGACCTGCAGGGAGCTCCCTCCGGGGCGTGGAGGGTAAATACAATGTGAAAGGTTCGTCTCCATCCTGCTCCAGACAATCACACAGCTTTCAACCTACAAAGTCACCACACAATGGTTTGAAGCTCATACAAATTATACAGTAATCCATGGGTCTGTCCAGTCTGTCCTCTCTCCACTCATTTGAACCCTTTCTTCCATCCGATGAAGCCGCGTCATCACCCAAAAAAACAAAAGGTTACCGGACCTTTGTCATCATCTACAATGCTGATATCCCCTCATGAGAAAATGTTAATCGGAAAATGACAAAAACACAAAGAGGAGGCACACTTTGACGCGTGATATAAACCATTAGGCCTGGTGTTTTTGGTTTATTTTCAAGGGAATCGAAATCTATTTTCTATTATTATCTGGTCTATTTTTTAACCACGAACCTTACATACAGCACTCCTGCATCATGTGAAGCTGTAAGCCTTGGCGAACAAACACAACAGTGAAGCCGGTTCATCCGCGCACAGACCAGCGTCATGCACATAAAGCGGTGCAAATCAATTGCGTCATTCATCAGTCTGCTTCAAACCGCGGCGCAAACACAACAACACAGCCGCACAGCGTGACCACACAACCATCGCATCACGCTTACCTGTTATTGCACTGGACGGTGAGACTGTTTTCGCCATGGTGACTGTCACAAGCAGAATACACCCAAATGTAGGCTATGACGCGCTGTCACCCCCCAAAACACTCTGCAGTGAAGCCGACGCAGCAGCAGCAGCAGCGGCGCAGGTATCCGATTCCCTCCACAGCAGCAACAATGAGGAGCGCAGCCACGGCGGATACACAGCGACCATTCAACTAAGACACAGCCTGAAGGTCATTATAAAGGCTGGTGATGATGGGCAGGAGCAGGAGAGTGTTGGATGGAGCAGAGAGATGCTGGGACTGGAGCTGGTGATGCGCACACAGTCCAGTTTACAATCGATCGAGCACCGTGCGTCGCAGCGTAAGCCCGCCCATACACGGGCTATTAACGCGTTACCGGTGGATGCAGGAGATTTCCTCTCTGCACACACAAAGCTACCAAGGTCCAAACCATTTTTTTTTTTTTTTTGCTGACTTGACCGCAGTTGAATGCCGGGTTGGATGCAATGAATGACAGACAGAAGGATAACATGCAGGTTTAGTGCGCGCTCAGGCCGGTCCGTTTGAACCCCAATGCAAGAAATAAGTGTTTCCTAACTTGATTTCACATGAGGTTCACCACAAAGCCAGTATCATATATCATGTTCAGAGGCTGACATCATTCATCTCCCATCCATTTGCTGAACCCTGTGCTACAATAAAGGTGCTATTTGACATCTTCTTCATATTTTAAAAGATAAATCATGGAGAGCCCTGAATAAAAAAAAACAACACTAATGAGTTGAACTAACCGTTTTTCAGTGACAGCTATCAACATGTGTGACCCTAGCATTTGGATAGGATCACATATTTTATATAATTTAATATAATATCTAACCATAGTAAAAAACCTTTGTAGTGGTACTGGCTGCTGCCCTGGGGCAAAAGATGACCTGTGGGCCCCAATATACTCCCCCTTCCTCTAACTCTCTGTGCACTGAGTGAATGTAACATCGACTTTAAGTGCCCATCTACTAAAGTGCACACTGCAGACTGCACATGGCTCGGTTATAGTTTGCCTGCAGTCCCAAAAACGTGTACTGCTGTGTTGAAATACTTTCTACCCATGGTGTTTATTAAATGTATTCAAGAATATGCACCAGTATAAACTGAGGTAAAGCTTTAAAACTAAATCTGACAGAGAACACTTTAAAAGGTTTCTTAAAATTAGGAAATAAAAGTGGTGTGACCTCAAGGCCCTTATCATTTCTGAAATGAATCAGCTCATATAATCAGATGACAGAATATGGTTTACAAATGGGCATATTTATGTTCATGTTACATCTTCTGGCGGCACACAAACATTCAGGTTGGAGTCCTGGAGACCCCGAGCCTCCTTTCACAGCTCAAAATACTCCGTTTGGGGTGTCAGAGACCCCAGCTCTAAAATATGCTTACATCGGTGATTGGTGTTGAGTTTTAGTTTCATGCAGCACTGCCCCTCCAAATCTTAAACAGGTCTATTAGGATTAATGTTATTGGAGTATCATAACAGCCTGTTCAAGAGGTCTCATAGGGAGTTAGGCCTGTGCTGACTCTAATTAAACCCAAATATAAGTAAATTCACCATGTAGGATAATGTTAATATACTGTTTGGCAAACAAAACTAACAATTGTTAATGCATTGCCCATATAACATATAAAACATAATAGAGCTTCTTCTTCTAATTGTTACTGATGTTGAAGTAAAACAACCTATATCCTCATACCTATTCATTAATAAAAAGATAAAAAAGAGAGATATTCCTTCCTGTGTTGTCGCCTGCAGAACAGAGGGGAGGTGGTGGCAGCAATGAGTTCTTGCTGTTGTTATTGAAGCCAGAGAAGAAGAGTGAGCGGGGCCGGAAGGACAGAGCTGACAGAAGGACGGAGCCGTGCCGTGCCGTGCTGTGCTGTGCTGTGCAGGGACTGTAGTGAGCTAGCTCGGTAAAGATGCTGTCCAATATCTCCAATGTGCTCAGAGCTGGTGCTCAGAGAAATGTAAGTACACGGGGTTTAAACTAAAGTAGCCAAACAGTAAACAACAGATGTTTACCAAAACAACAGAGCCGTCGCTGTTCTGACCTTGTGAGGCCGATTCATAGCTTGCTGGGCTAACACAGCTACAGTCTGAGCGGACACCTGGACTCGGTGGGACCGCTTTAGTGTCGCGGGCAGTGAAGACACAAGCTTGTGAAGTGTTGTGTAGGTTTCACTCTTCAGCCGTCAGTGTGGAGTCAGTCGGAGCTGTGTGCGGTTGTTTCTGTCAAAGTTGACAGCGAGCGTTAGCAGCTTTACAACTAGTCGGCTCATTCTGTCAGGTGTTGTCACAGATAGCTTTCCTTTTAGACTTTTCTGTTCCCAATGTATGACGGTAGTTGTAGTTGTCCTGTGTAAGATATAAAACAATAACAACTCTTTTTTTTTTTTTTTTAAATCGTGCTTATTTGGCTGCTCAGACTATCAGAGCCCTAGCTGGGAGGTCATGGAGGATTTCCTGAGACACCCTAACAAACTATTAAAGTTATACGTGAATGAAATCCGTTCAGATGTATCCTAACTGAGGCTGACTGCCTGATGTTTGTCTGTTGAGCTTAAAAAGTAAAGACTTGAGGTTGTAGTTTGTTTAATTTGTTAGTCCACACCATTCTGATGATACTTTATTCGGGCTAGAGTAATCTGCTGTTAGATAGATACTTCGATATCAAGTATGTTGACATGAACAGGAGGTGAATGGGCATATTTGTTATATTTTCTGTGACTTTAATATTTTTCCAGTGTGTTTGCATGTGTTGTCAGACACAGCATTTATTTCTGCTCTGCTGTACAGTAGCAGATTTTAGGTCTGGGTAGCAAAAGCGCTCTGTGGTATGAACTAAATTCATTATCAAAATACTTATTGTTAAATAAAAAAAACTTGTTTATATATTTTTAAGTAAGAAAGAAAGTATTGTTTTGGTTTTTCTAGTATTGAATAACCAGTTTATTTCTCTGTCTTTCAGGGAGCTGCAGTGGTCATGTCAGTGCGCTCCTATGCTGATTTCACAACCCAGGCTACCTTTGAAATAAAGGTAAGCTTAAAACACAAAGTTATATTTTTCTGCTAAACTGATCATCGCACGTGGCAGTTGGTGAGTTATTATAGGTATTTTTTCTTCCCTCTAGAAATGTGACGTCCACAAGCTGGACGAGGCCCCGGCCACTGAGGTGGTTATGACTCGTGATGAGGGTCTGCAGTACTACCGCACCATGCAGACCATGAGGCGTATGGAGCTGAAGGCAGATCAGCTGTATAAGCAGAAGATCATCAGAGGATTCTGCCACTTGTATGACGGCCAGGTTGAGTGCACTATAATTCGTTTCTGGGGTTTCATTTTAATGTTGGAGTAATGGTTTATGTTTGCTGCTCTGGGAAGAATATTAAATGCCATTAAAGTCTGCTTTGAAATACAACCAGATTGAAAACTGATAATTGATAGTATTATTTAAAAATATCTGATAGTAATAGTAAGTAGATTTTACAGTCTTTTAGAGCACATCTCCACACATGTACGCTCTTACACAGAAATCATGTGAAGCTTTTTGTTTTCTACATGTAGGAGGCCTGTGCAGTTGGTATTGAAGGAGCAATTAACTTGTCAGACCACCTGATCACTGCGTACCGTGCCCACGCTTACACTTACACCAGAGGAGGGACTGTAAAGGAGATCATGGCCGAGCTCACCGGTGAGTCCGCTGAGACACGGTGACATTTTCAGTCTCTAAATCATTTTAAACTCCAGTCATGATGGATTTTGAGTTGCAAATTGTTATTTTTCAGCTTTCTAACTGCTGCATGTTGTTTGTAATTTACAGGCAGAAGAGGAGGTATTGCAAAGGGCAAAGGAGGCTCTATGCACATGTACTGTAAAAACTTCTATGGAGGAAACGGAATTGTCGGAGCTCAGGTATATCACCAAAGTCTTCTTTCACACGATCTCTGAACTTAGTATTCAGTCATCTCGTTCAGCTGTTTTTGAAAGGAGCGATAAAGCGATTGGAACAAACCGATTCACATGTTTTGGGTTTAGTGTTAACATGTAAACATGTCCTACCAGTATGCTGTCAATGTTATGAAATTGTGACTTATTAAAGACTTATAAGGGCTAAACGCAGGTATAATTAGTGCGTCTGGTTTGATAGTGTCGACTGATATTGTGGGAATATAGTGGAACTAAAGGAAGGTGACGTTGGTCATTAACAGGTTTATCTTTTTCTGCATATTCCAGAACAGCTTGGCCTCAGTTTAGCCAATAAAAAAAAAAGATTTGAGCATCCAGAAATCCTCAATATTACTGTTGTTATCCACCCATACTAATGAGATTATGTTGGTGCCAAACACATTTAAAACAGGGTCCAGTGGTCTTAAACAGGAGAGGATGGGGAAACAATTATTTGCCACAGTAAGGTCGCAAACTTGGCTGGACGAACCTTGCAGGGCGTCCTAGAAATAGATAAATTAATTATTAATTTGCAAAAAGAGAAAAGGGAGCCAAAACTTAATTTCATTGCTTGGCATCAACCTGTTATATGAAGTCACTCAACTCAAGGGGAGTCATTAGTATCAGATTACCACATAAAAGCAACACACATAAAAGATGATACTGGCTTAAAACAACGTTATAAATATATAAAACAAACAGATTATTCTTTATGATGCTTTTGTCATTGTCGAAATGAACATTGTCTGTTGTTTTGATGAATTTCACGTTTTAACTTTGAAGAATTACAACCTTCAGGCTGATGAACCCATTAAAAAATGTGTGATGTCTATATCAGCATTTAAATACTGTTTGTTGTTGTTTAAATAAGTGCTTTATACATTAAAATGTATATAATGTAACCCCAGACCTCTCTGAATTCTCCTCAGGTTCCCCTGGGTGCTGGTGTGGCTCTGGCCTGCAAGTACTTTGGCAACAATGAGGTGTGCGTCAGCCTCTATGGTGACGGCGCTGCTAACCAGGTATGACACACACATCTCTGGTTTTAATCTAACTTTGTAATTACTGGATGGAATCAATAGCACCACATTGCTGCTATATTACTATAACAATTGTATGCATAAAAGATCATGTGGATGTGTTATATGCTTAATAAGTACATTAAATTGAACTGAAGTTAGATCATCCAGGTATTGTTGGTTACATTTAATTGTCTGTTTCTCTTTGCTGTATACTTCTAATGTAAGCTAACTAGGATAACAATAAAAAAGAGCAATCCTATCTTTGTGCCACATTAAAAAAAAAAAAAAAATCATTTGTGTATTTCACAGGGTCAGATTTTTGAAACCTACAATATGGCAGCACTTTGGAAGCTGCCCGCCATCTTTGTCTGTGAGAACAACAGGTACGGCATGGGCACATCAGTGGAGCGATCTGCAGCCAGCACCGACTACTACAAGAGAGGAGACTACATCCCTGGCCTTCGGGTACTGTTCTTTACCTTATTTTAACTATACAATATAATTTACAT